TGTGTGTGTGTGTGTGTGTGTGTGTGTGTGTGTGTGCGTGTGTGTGTGCCCCTCCCGATGTTCCCCGTTATGATGGTGAGGCATGTCAAGAAATACACAGTGATAAAGGGGCTGCAGCATCGCAAATCTGTGTGTGTGTGTGTGTGTGTGTGTGTGTGCCACTCCCGATGTTCCCCGTTACGTTGGTGAGGCATGTCATGTGTCACATGATCTGCTGATCGGCGGCGTCACCAACAAGAGGCAACCGCACTGTCTTTCCCAAAATGCAAGAAGCGACTCCGAAGACAAAACTGGCTAGTAAGAATAGGAAAACCGTGTTGTAGAAAATGGCGAAGAGGCGAATAGCAAAGCCACTGGAGGGACTGATTAATCGCTCGATGAGACGAGGGAGAATCAACAGGATGTCGAGAGTGATGGCTTGCATAGTGTTGAAGCGGACGAAGCGGGAATAGCGTGTGTTTTGCACAACGGCTAAGTAAAGCAAGAAGAAGGCGATGAAACTGCCGAAGGGAATAGAGTTATAAACTGAGATAACAGGCGCCAAAGGACTAATCATTTTTCGCATGAACGGGAACTCGCGCAACAGATAGCGACCGTAATCCACTCCGTCCAAAAAGGGCAAGAAGTACGCCACTGGTGCGATGATCGGATCTCCATAGTCTATGCTGTCACCTCTCTTTGCCTGGGGAATGATGGCACCCTGCTTTCTCTTGCTCTTGGGTCTTCGTTTCCCCCGTCCTTCTGAATCCGACAAAGGGAACCTGGAGGAGGACAGTCTGCATCCTTCCCCTCCCCCGTGCCCTCCTACACACCCGAAAACGGAAGACTTAGACCACCGATACGCAGCCCACGCACATCGAGAGCGTGAATCAGGCCCAGATCTCGGAGTGCTCACCCCCTGTAATGGTGATTGACACATGCCAAGTACAACACACGTCTCACTCCTCTGCGATTCTCTTTCACTGCAAGGTCGTCCATGATATCCCAATCTCGCTACCATCTGGCTTTGCTTGAATGTGCCTGTCCTTTCCGAAGCCAGTCCATTTCGCAGCCGCTGCAGTATCGCGCACGACCGAGGTCCCGCTGCTACAATCGGCCCAAAGGGCTCTGAGAACTGGATCGCCTTTTGTGAGCGTGTGCGGCATCGTGGGAACACATTCGCTTGCACGGTTGCTCCCCTACTTGAGATGTCCATCGCCCACGGACAACCACCCACGACAACGCTCATTGTGGCCTCTGTAGTGACAGGCGTCTGAAACCTCTGACTCGACGCAATGATATCAGCGCTGCACACGTAGAAATAGCGTGAGAAAAAAAACAACGAAGATTATGTGTCCATGAACCCGTCTCATTCAATGACGTTGCACAAACATTATTACGTCATGTTGAATATGCTTAATCTTATGTCTGGGGCAGCAATGCAGAACGACGAATGCATCCTCAAGAAGGTTTTGCAACATGGAATAAATGCAATCAAACATGGTTTTCAAAATTTTAAAATTTTCAAATACAAATGTATTTTTTTATATTATAAATATACAATAACATGCAAGATTTTCATACTGTCAGAACCAAAGTTTTAAAAGCACGAATTCGGCGCTTATTACAAAAAACAAAATCCAAAAATGATCCAAATACTGATAGTGGCAACAGTTTAAACGATAGCAATTTTGAATTACTAATGGACATTTTAATAAAAGATGATGAATATGATATGTTTCATAATATCAACACCAACGACATTTTTAAAGATTATGAAACAATATATATACGATCGATGCTTTCCTTTAAACGACCCATTAATATGTCCAGAAACAAAAACAGTTATACCAAATAATGAATTAAATGAAGCATCACAAACAACATAAATTATGCATCAAACAACGATATTAACAAGAAATAAATATAAAACCATTATGAATTTATTCTAGATCAAGTAAACAATTTAAAAACAATTAAAGTCGATTACACACTCATGAAAAAATGGCTTAAAATCAAATCCTCAAATGAAGATTGACGAAATTAATTCTTTAAATCTTAAATATATAAAAAAAAATAAAACGAACAAAAATAACACTTCTTTCAAATGTTTTTAAACCATAAAACATGAAATCTATTAAAAAAAAAAGCATAAATGATTATCTATCAATCTAAAATATATCACAAAATTTTACTCACAAAACAACAGCATATAGCGTTTGCATTAATCACAAAATTATTTTTATTAACTTGGCAATTATAAACAATTAATTCAAAAACAGAGGTAAAAAATCATTAGACAAAACGCAAACACAAATTTAAAAACATAAACTTTGTGTAGCACATAAAACATGTTCAGAGCATTTTCGAACGTCCGAACATTGTTCGGGTGTTTGGGCGAACGCCTCTTGAACATGTTCAATCGCACACACTAAAAAAAAAAAAAATATTTTTGGTTTTGTGTTTTTAACTCGAATTTGGTTGCGAATTTCAGCATACCTCCAAGACAAAAGTTATTGTATTATTATTTTACATAACATGTATTTTTAAAAAAAAACTCTGTGATGGCTTTTTTTTATATATTTTTGTTTTTCGTGTTTGAAGGGTTTTGATGCTCATTCCCATTCGGTAGCAAACATTCCGGTTCGATCATCGAACCTAAACACGATGCTACACAACATCAACTACTGATGTATCTCAGTCGAAAAGGCGGAACTAAAAAATCACATTTTGTAAATGCAATATAAATATTTTATAAATATTGAAAAAAAAACTATTGCAAAAATAGCTCTCACACGAAAAGTAACAGTCTCAATTCAACCACCACTACCCCCTCCATTATCAATTACGGGGCACTGGTAGCACAGGTCAATGAGGGTTACCGACAGCACGTTGGGGGAAACTGGTTGAGTGGCAAAATAAAAAAATACGTCAAATTATTTTTATATATCAATTTCGCAGTTAGAATAATTTAATTTACTTGTTTAATAATTTTTCTATAAAAATCCCAACAAAATTTACGAACCGTAGAATTTTTAAAGTTATTAAGTCATATTTGTTTGCGCGCAAAAACGATGTGACGAAACGGCGCGACATGTACTTCACGGTCTAAATAGTGTTTTTTTTATTTTTTTTGATATTTTTTTTCAAAAAATCACGATCTAATTTCAACATCTCATTTTTTTTATTTTTTCGGTTAATTTTTATGAGAGCAAAAAATCCTCAAAGTTCACGTTTGAAAATTTTTGGACTGGAACCGCCTGCGCCTGCCAGTCGTCGGCCCCCCTAAGAACCCGTTCCGTAAGGTCAGAAGAGTCAAATTTAGGTCGGCGGGGGTAGTGGTGGTTTTACATAGTTCGATAGACAAATATAATCTTGATAAATCAAATGCAAATAATAAAACAACAGTACATGGAGTTTCACGATTCAAAACAGATCTGGCATTATTACTTATACATGAAGTTAGCATGCTAAGCAAATAAATGTTCATACAAATAAATTACACACTTAGAAAAGTTCGACGAATTGATTTGTCATTTGATGGTTTAAATATGCTTTGTGTGGGAAACCATTTTCAAATGCTGCATGTCCGAGGAATTCCATTATATAAGAAACCATCTATAGAATTAGCAACGAGACCATATAATGATCCAGCATCAAACTTGTAATTATTATTTAAAACAATAGTGATATTGAACGAAAACAATCGATTTAAAAAAGACCCTGAATGAGAAAAATGATGTAATAATGCTAAAAAGGCTTCTAGAGAAAAAAACTTCATAAATATTACCAATACGCTCCTTTTTACTTCAAACCTGGGTAGCACCGTGTACACGTACGCGAGCTCTGCATACGTGCATATACGTGTACGCTCGTACCCAAATTTGGGGCCTGCATACGTGGTTGCAGCGGGCCATTTCCCAGGCGTGATTTCGCCCGTAAGGGTTGAAGGGTGGGCGGGGGGATGGGTCCGGGCCAGAGCAGGGTTGAGGGGTAGTGTCGGGGAGAAGGTAGACCTTGGAAATCGTGGCGGGAAGGTCTTAGCCCCCCCCCTCGTTACCCCCCAGGCCCTTTGTGTGTGTGTATGTGTGTGTGTATGATCGTCGTCGTCTTCCACCTCCATATCCTCCACCACCTTTCCTTCTCTATCGTCTCCACCTTCCTGTCGTTTCCCCCCCCCATCGTCGCCCTCCTCCATATGCCCCACCTTCCCGTCGCTATCTTCCACCCGCTCCTCCCCGCAGTCATCTTCCCCTATAGTCATCGTCCCGTCATCGTCGTCATCTTCCACCTCCATATCCTCCACCACCTTCCCTCCTCCATCGTCTCCACCTTCCTGTCGTCTTTCCTCCCCATCGTCACCCTCCACCATCAGCCCCACCTTCCCGTCGCCATCTTTCACCCGCTCCTCCCCGCAGTCATCTTTCCCTGCAGTCATCGTCCCGTCACCGTTGTCGTCTTCCACCTCCATATCCTCCACCACCTTCCCCCCTCCATCGTCTCCACTTTCCCGTCGTCTTTCCTCCCCATCGTCGCCCTCCTCTATCTACCCCACCTTCCCGTCGCCATCTTCCACCCACTCCTTCCCACAGTCATCCTCCCCCGCCATCGACTTTTCCTCCACATCGCCTTCTTCCTCCTCCTCCTCCCCTCGTTATCTTTCTCTGCCATCTCGTTTACCTCCCCATGGTCTACCGTAAAGGTATAATAGAAATAGTAGTATATTTTTACTACATTACTGTGTATAATATATGTATAATCTGGTATATAATGCTATACAATATTGTTAATATATATGTATATATTATATTATATTATTATTATCAGGGTTGCCAGCGTTCAGGATGGGCCGAACACCCAATCCCGAACGCCCGAA